ATTAACTAAAAGTTGTAATACTAACAAATTCAGAGCTCAAGTAACCTGTAATGTAATGTGTGTATTTGTTGCAGGATTGTTAACAGTGCTCTGATTGAGAGCTGGGAGATCGCCGGGCCATACCGGGCCTGGTGGTTGTTCAGTGGGTTGCTGTTGGTGCTGCAGGCTCTTCATATCATCTGGTTCTACTTCATCACTTGCACTGCTTTCAAAGCAATAATGAAGGGAAAGGCTGGCTGGCTATTCTTTGTAGTAAAAATTTTAAGCCATGCTATCTAGGGGTGTGCATCTTCACTGGTCTCACGATTCGATTACGATTATCAGGTCAAATATCTCGATGCATCACGCTGCATCACCTCAAAGGTGGGAATTTCCGGGGACCTCATTACCAGAAGAAAAAGTATTTGTAACAATTTAAAGAAGTAGGAAGTAACAAAATGCAGATATTTAATGTGACTTCATATAAATGTAGCTAACATTGTATAGCATTATTATTACACCGTTATTACTGACCTCTGCTGCTGCTATTTTTATTTCTGATGCTGCTGTTATTAGTAGAGTCAGATGGGGGTTGAACTACGCATTTTACAACACTCCAGCCAAACCACGTTCACGCCACCTTAATATATTTGTTCCTTTTTTTGTCTCGTCTAGTGTAGTTACATGTTTGTGTCTTGTCTAGTAAGTTGATTATTGTAATCTTGTATTGAGCACCATGGGCCTTGAGAAACGGCATTGGGTTCATTGTGTACTCGATATGTAGATGAATGACAACAAATGATATTGAACTAACAGCCAAAAAACGTGCTGCTCAGCTTCCAGACCGCAGTCTGAAAAGAAGATGTTAACTAGCGCTAACTGTCTTCACTTTTCCACTAGTTGGAAAACGACAGACTAATTAACGGACACACTGTGACCTGCAATGTACACTTACTGCCAGACTGAAATGTAGCGCTCATACTTTCCTCTGCTCTGCTGCTTTCACCGTCACCTACTGCCACCTGTTACATAGCTTTGAAGAATGAGCAGAGGACGCTAGCGAAGCACTACTGTACGCTTATTAACATTGATTTTATTGATCATGTGAAAGTTTAGTGTGTGGAGTTTGCATGTTCTCCACGTCTGCGTGGGTTCTCTCCGGGTGCTCCGGCTTCCTCCCACCATCCAAAGACATGCGGACTAGGTTAATTGGTGACCCTAAATTGCCTTAGGTGTGAGTGTGAGTGTGAGTGGTTGTTTGTCTATGTGTGGCCCTGCGATGGACTGGCGACCTGTCCAGGGTGTACCCCGCCTTTCACCTGATGTCAGCTGGGATTGGTTCCAGCCCCCCGCGACCCTGTACGCAGGATAAGCGGCTGACGATGGATGGATGGTGAAAGTTTAGTAGCAGCAGTCATTCATTCAACAGCTGTCTGTTTGTGCCTAACAGGGAGAACCACACGTCTCTGTTGTGTGCACCGCACAGAGGGTCCAGAGCTGCACTTCTGCATTTCCGAGTTCCGCCTTTTTTGTTCCATCAACATTACGTTATCAATTAACCTCTAGATAATAGATTATTGACATTTGTGAATTGATTCATAATTGATGCCGACTTGGACGATCAATTATTTTTCACACCCCTGTAATGGGAATTCCATGAGTACCATCTCCAAACACAGTCATGTAATTAATGTTACTCACTGAGGGCCTCTGGTTTATCGGGTACTGGGTACTGGGTATGTGATGTGTCCAGGGGATCATGTCTTTCATTGTTTACAACATGTACCTGGCTGTACTAGAGCTGAATGTCTTTCCGATAGATTTAAATTGACTGTCCTCCAGTGGTAAGATAATGCTGACCCTGAGATTAGGATAAAAGCTGCATGTGCTAAGACACTGCAGCTCACTTGGATGATACCCTGATGCGTGTGTCCCAGTGAGTTCCTTCTCCAGAAGACCTGAATAATATTCACAGAAAGACAAGGGTTTGCCTAAGCTGCTTATTTGAAAACTTGAATTGCCATCACAATTTAGCCGTTATAGGCAGGATCACACGCGTGAGAGGACTCTGACACTCGGAGCTGAAGGTAAAACCTAGACTCTAGACTTCAAACCTCTCCTCCAAACTATAGGTGAGACGTTGAGGGCCTGGCGCCTGAGTGTCCGAGGCTCGCTTACTGCTGTGATCCATAAGAACCTAATGGCTGGCAACACTCTCTTTTTGGTGAGTAGGCTATTCAAGTGAAACGTTTCTCACTACCCAACAGGGTGTCCGTGACAGATTTGTCAACAGGTCAGGCCTGGGGCCGCTGTGTGAATCGACAAAGCTTTGGTGTAAAAGTACTATAGTCTGGAAATCACTGTTGGACAGTGGTTTTCCTATAGGTCTGGGACCTTACTGTTGCACAGTGTTATGTTTTGGGTCTGCGACCCATAATAAAAAGAGAGGTATGTGAGTCACAGGACTCACTACAAAATTTAAGTAAAAAGGGTTTTTACTTAGGGTTGGTATTCTAAGGGAATACAAAGTAAATATACAGTATTGTTGAATGCTGAATATGTTAACTGCAAATTGAGTGAGATCTGAAAACCGCCTTGTGAACGAATTGCGAATGAGAAAAAAAAAATAGAACATGTGTGAATGTTGAAAAAAGGCTTTTGTAAACAGGTACAAAAAAAACGTTTTCAGTATAAAAGCTTTTCAATGCTATAGAATATAAAGACTTATCAAAGACCAAATAAATTCTAAAGTTAAATTTTTACTACAGTTGGGTCATTTGAGATTTAAGAAATAAACAAAGAAATCACTTTGTTCCAGACTGAAATATCTCATGAGGCTGACATTTCTGTTAGTAAAATATCTTGACAGCTGTTTGATGGATTGTCATGTCTGAGTTTGATGATCCCCTGATTTTTCATCTAGCACCAACTGCACGTCAAAATGTCCCTTTGTCCAGTGAATTATATCTACTCAATGAATTTTTGCAAGATTTTGTACAGATATTGTTGCCAGACGCAGGCATGCAAACTGGTCAGGGGTCAAAAAAGGTGATCCGCAAGCAGAGAAAGACACAGAGGCAGTGTAAGGCCCCTTCCAAAAAGTGATGGGGACATAGCGTCCCCAGTGTAAATGACACCGATGCCCACACGTTTCGTCCTGTTACCGTAAACTACATAACATCCAGGGGCGAGTTCAGCACCGACAAAACGTAGCAAAACGTTTTTTTCAATGGAAAGGGTGGTGCCTCGAACACCCTGTTGTGTATGCAAGTGCTCTGTATTTCCCTGCCTTTTTAACGTCGTCGTGTTTACAAACTTGTCGCAGCTGATTGGGTAACATCTGTGACACGCCCACCAAACAGAAGAAAACATACATCAAATCCTGTTGCGGAACGTTGCAAGGAAATATGTCGTCAATCCTAAAACGTTGCAAACCGGTGCTAAACGTTTTGAGATTGGACTCGTCCCAGGTTGCTAGCAGCCACTAACGTCCACACGTGTTCAGCTGTCAGACTCCGCAGTGAGCGGACTTGAAAAACCCCCCGCCCTACTCTGCCTCTGATTGGCTGGTGGGTTGAGTCATTAGGAGTGACCTGCTGGATTGGTTAGGCACAGCCAGTTGGCCGGTTGTTAGTTGCATTGCTCATGCAGAGTAGAAATAACTGAGTTCAATCTTAAAACGTTTTGCACTGGTTTGCAATGTTTTCAGATTGAACGACATGTTTCCTTGTTAAATTGTAATAACTTGGGTGCAAATGTATCTGCATCTAGCAGCATTGTCATCAAAATTTTGCTTTATGCCAAATATCTGTAAATCTAATGACTATGTCCTTATCCTGAGCTGTACTTTGTGTTTAATGCTAATTAGAAAATGTCAGCATGACTATGGTAAAACATTACTTGCATCAGGATGTTCAGCATCCTCATTGTGAGCATGCCAACAGCCTCAGAGCTGATATCGCGGCTGTACACCTGCAGTGTTTTTGCTTTCTTTGCTATTCCTGTTCGCAAAACTGTCATTCCTATTTGTGTTTTCATGTTACAGGTGTCAAAAGATGACCACAGCGACATAGAGAGCAGCTCAGACGAGGAGACGAGAAGTTGCATTAAGAATCCCAGTCATACCCGAAACCCAAAGGACAGCAGTCACACTGGTAACCTCAATGGAGAAACTCACGGGCATTGAGTACGATGAGGGGGATATGTACTTCCAGTGTGGCTTTTATGGCGTTTTTCCATTACCAGCTCAACTCGACTCGGTTTTGGCCCGCCGTCCTCCGTTTTCCATTGCAGATAGTACCCCTCAATGTAGCTGGTCGTTATAGCAACGCCACACAGAACTGCCGCAACCTAATGTTCAATGCGACACACACACACCAGCGACCCACCAACAGCTGTCTCTTGATATAAGTCAAAACGTTTCACCATTACTCCGAATATAAAGACAGATAAGTGGTATTAAAACTTTCCAGCTGTGTTTTCCTCTGCTGTTGTTGCTGCAGCGGCCTGTGTGACGGAAGGAGCAGAGTGCTCTGTGAGCGGGCGGCTGGCCGGCCTCACACGCTCCTCCCGCGGGTTGGTGCAGGCTTCCCCCGGCGCCACTTGCGGAGCTCGTCAACTCCGAAAACTTTCAAGCACATTTTTGTTCCGCCATCACGAGCTGGTACCATGCAGTGGAAAAGGGGCTTTATTCACCTCCTGCATGCCTGTGTGACCCGTCTTGCCACTTTGACCACCTGAAAACCACCTTATTTTTTCACTTTTTCCTTTGTTGTTTAAATGGATAGAAGACTTGAATGCAGGGGAAGTTCATGTGTGGAATACAGACTTAGCAATGTCTTACTGAGTCAGGTTTACACTTTGTGAAGTTTACATCTGCTTTTGCTTACAGAAGTAGACAGAAAATGTGTGTGTGGTCTATTTGCACCTCACTGTATGTGTGTGTGTGTTTTCAAAGTTAGAAATTGCAGCAGATGCGTAACAGTCCATTTCTACACAGCTACAGTCAAAACTAATTTTATACATGTAAATACATTTTATTAGCAAAGTCGGTAATATATTTTACAGCTGAAAAACAATCACTGCATCTGCCGTACTGAGTATACTGCTTACTCTGTAAGCTTCAAAAACCGAAATGGCAACTATCTCTCTTAATATACCAAAGGTTTCTTAATAAAACATTGTATCAAATCCAGTGACGAATGTGTATAATCTTTATTATGTTATGGATGATGAACTTGACTGTGATGAGTAGAGCTGCAACTGACGATTATTTTCATTAGTGAGTCATCGTTTGACCTATAAATAGCAAAAAAAGTGTCAATCACAAGTTCTTAAAAGTCAGACCCAACCGTCCAAGCCTAACGATATTTCTTTTACTTTTGTGTAAGTCAAAAGAAAAGCACATTTTCATAGTTAAGAAGCTGAGGTAAGTGAATGTGCCCCAATGTCATGATTTTTCTGCAGATCGACAAATGCATTTATCCACTGATTGTTTCCGCTTTAACAACAGCATGGCAGCACTCATGACAGTACTGCATGTGATCCTCTTGCGGCCTTTGAGGGGAATTCATCCTCTTCAGTATCTTATCTTAACACACTCTTCCAGCATGTCAAAAACGTCTTCACTGAAGTCGTTGTACTTCAGACTGAAAAGAGTTGGAGACACAAAAAGTAGTTATATGCTAGTTTAAAACGTCTTGTGCTGAGAAACTTTATGTAAAGTGCACTGGCTCAAGATGGTTTAACTGAAGTGAATCGGGCTTACTTCATCTCCTGCATGTTGTGGCTGCCCTGCATGACTTTGATGAGGGCTGGGACAGACGCATCGGTCAGTGAGTTGTTTCTCAGGTCCAGGCTCTTTAAAGTCTTGCTGGCTCTTATAGCAGCACACAAGTCTTCAACACAGGCATCAGTCAAACCGGTCATTTCAACGCTGCAATAAAAGAGACTTGAATGTAGTGCACACTGCAATGTGGTCATGAAAAAAAAAGATATAAGGAGAGTGTTTTAAAAAATAATTTTTTCAACTCACTTCAGTTCCTCCAATTGGCAGCTTGGATGTGCAACAGCATCCCAAAGATGTTTAACCCCTTGGTCTCCTACTTCATTGATACCTACAGCCAGAGACTTAAGTCGAGTAACCTCACTTCTCAGCACTGAACCCAGTTCCTTGAAGACCGAGTGGGTTAACTCGCATTTTGTCAAGCTGTAGGGTGCAGCAGAATATAAAGATACTGTACTTTTTCTTTACCAAGACAGGTGGCACTTTATCACTGAAAAGACAATACAGATGACTCTACCTGAGTTTTTCCATTGGACAACCAAGTCGACTGAGGGCTTGGCAGAGCAGCAGTGCCCCCTCCTGGCCCAAATCATTCACTGACAGGTCCAGCTCTGACAGAGAGCAGTGCTCTGACATCAAGGCCTCCATCAAAGGAGCACAGCAGGTACCTGTCAGCTCACTATCAAATAAACTAAGATAGAAAAAAAGGTCACCAATGGCAGAAAACTATAGATGTAAAGGAATGATTTATCACACACATTCTGTTTGCTTTTTTGGGGGTGATTAAGAGACACTTTCAGGAGGTATTTTGAGAGTCCTTTTCACTTATCAATTCAATCAGCATATCAAAGGAAAGGAATTCACTGCAGTTTTATCATCTTGAAACAGACTTACTTGAGGCTCTGTAGTTTACAAAGTGGGTGTTGCAGGGATTTACACAAAGTCTCCACTCCACTATGACCAATCGCGTTTTGTGTCAAGTTCACTTTTCTCAACTGTGATTGGCCAGAGCGCAAAGCTGCTGATAAAGCCTCCATGGATGCAGCAGTCAACATGCAGCTTTGTAGCCTTTTTAATGAACAAAATAAGGTCATTCATCAAAACTAAAAGTCAACACATAAATAGACAAACAAACAAAATACAATACTACAATTTTTAGAGTACGTACTGGAGCTCCTGCAGTTTGCAGTGAGGACTATGCAGCGCTTTGCACAGTTTCGTAAAGCCCTGGTCCCCAATCTCATTAAACGTAATGTCTAACACACACAGCTGAGAGGTGCCTGAGGTCAGGACAGACCCCAGATCTTCACAGCTTGCCTCTGTCAGTCTGCACACTTTAAGTCTGGGTAAATCAAAATGAAAATATCAAGGACTTATTAAATGAACTGGGCTATTTCTGCCTATGAGAAATATCTGTTCACATAAAATTGAAAAGAATGCCTTGAGCTAGATTTACTTTAATATGTGCAGCTTGCAGTCTCTGAGTCCAGCGCAGAGAATTTTGAACTTTTCATCGCCGAGGCCGGTGTGAGAGAGATCCAACTCCTTGGTGGGTCCTCTGCTGAGAGCTGAAGCCAGATGATTGACAGCCCCAGTACTCAAGAAACTGTCTAACAAGCTGGTGGACACAACACAGCGATCTTACATATGACAGCCAACTGAACATAAAATGAATGATGCCTGGACATGTATTTATTTTTACCATGACTTACGTGATCTTATGTGACAAGCTCATAGTTGGAGCCAGCCTCTCTGCTGCCTCCTCTGTCAAATTCTTTGTACGATACAGATTCAACTGCTCTATCCCTCCGAGGCACGTGATAACATAATTCAAAGCTACACAGTCCTGGAGGCTGAGGTCTCCATAGCTGATGCCCATTCGCGCTGAGGGGGTGATGATCTCTTTCACCAAACTCTCATTTTGAGCTTGATGAAGCAGATGGAAGCAGTGGTGGTGCTGGTCTTTGTACCATCCCTTCAGTGTCACCTCTGAGCTGCTTTTAAGCCAGCATTTGAAATCCATGATGCGATCAGCGTTCCACTCCCCCAGCAGGGTCTCCAGCGGTCTGCGCTGAATTGGCTCTGAGAGTCCTGCCAGGAAGATATCTAGAAACTTTGCACGGCCTTTGTGCTTTTCCACCATCTTCTCCGTGCCCTCAGACGGTGACGTGTCCAAAAAGAAAGACACGGCCAAGAGGAACTCCCGCATCAGTTGGGAGTGGAAGGAAAAGACCTCCGACTGGTGACCATCTACTTGCAAGAAAACACCAAGTGTGGTGAGAAACCGTTGAAAACCAAAGGAATCTATTTCCTCTTTGGTACAGCTCGAATGCTGGTCAAGGGTGCAATGAGACGCCATCTTGCTGAGGGCAAGCACTAGTTCTCTGTTGCAGGCCTCGTTCAGCGAGAGCGTCTGAATCAGGTGGACCAGGATATCTACATACAGCTGAGATAACGTCTCAGGAAGTTTTGCTCCAGCATCCATCAGAGACTTGTATATAGAACAGACTGTCCAACAAAATCTTGGGGTGGTACAGATATCATAAAAGCCTAGAGTCTTTTCCATGTGCGTAAATGCTTTGTTGGCAGCAGTTGGGTCAGTAAAGAACCCGTTAAAGTAGGCCTCTCTTTGTGGCCTCAGAAACCCCAATACATCCACCCTGGTGCCACTCAGAAACTTCAGACATCCTGTCGGCCTGGATGCCACCACGATGGCAGCTCCTTTCAGCAGTGACCCATGTAGCAAGCTGGCCACTAAACAGGACACTGAGACCGCCTGGCTGGGGTCAGAGCAGAGGGTGTGGACAGAAGGGTCCAGGCTGCGTTTGTACCGATCCAGATCATCAAAAACAAACAACACATCCTCAGGCTTCTGCAGAACCAGGTGCATGGACTCAGGAGGGATATGACCGTGATGGTGTAGCATTAACGCCTCCAAGGAGAGCATCCGGTTATCAAGAGAATTAAACTCCCTGAATTGGAAATGGAAAACATAAGAAAAGTTTTGAAGGTGTTCTCCATTTGCCCAGTCCACTACTAGGTTCTCCAAAGCAGTGGTTTTACCTGATCCTTCAAGACCGACCAGTACCACAGTCTTGATTTCACCAGACAGAGCGGCGTGGATTGCATGATCAAGGGTGGGTGAGTTGTCTTCTACATTACTATCCGTCACCTGAGCTTCAGAAGTCAGTGGGGATATGTACTTGTTGTTTATCACACTGACTGACAGCTCTCCACCAAGAAGTGTGGACATGCCCTTTGACCTCAGGATATGAGTCAGCACTGAGTCTTTGTCCATTGTGTAAATAACTGTTGTGAGAAAACATAAAATATAATTGACTGTCAGCATGACAGTCTGCAGGCAACATATCATTCATGTCTGCAAATAAATTACCGTGTAATGATTATCTGCTTTGGAAGCTGTCCACCAACATTTCTCACACAGAGCCGTCTCACAGTAACAGAGCAATTACTTTTCAAAACACGTAAGTGGAAAGTGCAGTTACCTTGGACGCAGTGATGTTAAAAAAACAAAACAAAGCAAAAGTCGTAAGGGGAAAAAAGTATCTGCAGACAGACTTCTGATTTAATGGTGGGTTACGCCTACAGCGGGAATGCAGCAACAGTCGCACACAAGCTTGCCATAACCTCCCAATTAGACCACGAGCTGCTCAAAACAGGAAGTACCGTGTGATTTTCAGCCCTGCGCGTTGCCTTACAGACAGGAACCGGTAACGCCAAAAATCCTAACGCAAAAGTCAGTTTGAATGTGTCCTGCCAGCAGTAACACTGCAGCTGTGTTAACATACTCCTAAATTAAGTTATACGTAGAAAGAATATGTGTTGTAAAGAATATACTGGTAAGTACATTTACTCCAGTACTATCGCCTACTTGAGTAATTCCATTTTATGCTTATTTATACATGTGCTCCACTCCATTTAAGAGGGAAAATTTGTACTTTTCACTCCACTGCTTTTATTTAGCTTTACTAGTGTTGCGTTTTTCAGAGTTTGAGAAAGGAGAGGGAGAGGCTGGGTCCGATGAAAATTAACAAGAAGATTTAAAGGCAGGGTAGGTAAATATGACAAACTAGCAAGAAATTGCCGGATTTTTGAAAGTATCCAACAGAGAAACTCCCACCGCCTCCCTTCTGGGCTCCTTTCAAAGCCACGCCCCCCAAATACGTGAACGCGCGTTGCCGACTCTGCCGGAGGACGAGCACAGTGTGACGAGCGGAGGACAGCGCGATGCAGGCTCACATCAGGGGTAAGAAAACATTTAACTTTATCGTTATTAAAACAAACAACTAACCCGGTTATTAGTACTCACTATCAAGCTAGCATGTTAATATTGGATAGGTTTAAAAATACTGACTTTGATTCACGAGCTGGCTAGCTAACTGTTTGCAACAGGTAGCTGTGCTAGCAGCTGCGGTAACATTGGGCAAAGCTAAAAACTGGCTAATACACATTTTCCGTTACCATCAGTTACACTACACTAACCTGTATTTCGTGTTAGACTCATAACTTGCACGTTCTTTTTCATGTTAGAGCTTCCACGGTGACAGCATTATTGTCTCTGATGAGAACTGCACTCCAGAGCCAAGCACAGACCGGGACAGGACCGGGACCGGCCTGGGGTCGAGGCGAAGCAGAGGAGGGAGGGCTGCCGGGGTCCGAGGAAGAAGAGGCAGGACGGGAAGGACGAGGTGCAAGCCGAGCAGCACATACCAGCGTCGAGAACTCCAAAAACATTTTTTTCCCCCCAGTGTACTTGTTTCAGAGATTCTCAGGTGTTGTGGACAACATCCAGACTACAGTGTTTCCATACACCACACGTGGCTGATCTTCCAGACCCAGGACAGAGTAACAGACAGACAGCAAACAGACAGTTTGTAGTGTGGCATTGTGGAGCACTTAGCAACTCAGTATCACGACTCTGTGTCTGTTTCTGGAAGATATACAACTGTTCTCCTGATCCACTAGGACAATACAGAGGTTTAATCCTAGCAGGATGTAAGATGTAATCACCAACTGATACACAAATAATTCCATCCACTGTGTGGATAAATATCTGTACTTGTGTTAGTTTTATTCCCAGGAAGGTGGAGAAAATACGAAGATATTTTTCCCTGTTCTGGATGTTATTTTCATTCTTTTTTAAATAAAACATTGAAAATGATAAATGCCTTTTCTTTACACTTGCAGCATAAACAATCAAACAACTACATTTATGTCTTATGTCTCCAATAATGACATCCAAATGTGGTGTAACACTTATTTATTATTAAATACTACTAAAACTACAACCTATATCACAAATAGATCATTTTAAACATTATTAAAATTAATAAGTATATACAGGAAGACAGACAAGGTGTGTCCAGAGGCGTGTTGACTGATTATGAACACAGTTCAGACTTTGCATGTAGCATCATATCGCTGCTGTGGAGAGGATTAAATATCACAATCACCTCTCTGACATGATTACCACATTTCAAAAACAACCACATTACTTTGTTTTATATTTTGCTGTATCTAGCAACACAGTTGGGGCAGGGACACCTGACTGAACCCCATGTTGACGGGGATCATCAGGTCTCCTGGTTCTGCTTCTAGGCATCTCCTCAGTAGTAGACAACAGTTGGAGGAGGAGGATGGCACTCTGGAGGTCTGTGATGTAACTGTAGTCCTTCTCCACCTTCAGTGAGTACAAGCTCCACTTCCTGGACATTTTGTTTTACACCTTACTGTACCTGATAACACAGAAAGGAGGATCAGCTTAGTGAAAAGTTTGTAATACCTGACATCATTCTCTTATAGAGCAGTTAGCATTTCCACATAAAATGCAATCAAAACAATAAATCAGCACCATCTATCTGTATTCCTCATACTGTTTAATATTTTTTGACTCATCACTTATAAATGTATTGAGTAAAATGCATAAGAGTACTCATAATGCAACATACTGAACTGTGTCATCAGCTTTTGTCCTGGCTGGACTGTGGACATGGTGGTTGTAATCCAGGTCAGCCAGCATGGTCCGGTCAGTGTATACTGGTGAGAAGTACAGGGCTATGAAAGACTCAAACCTGCAGGTGACCTGAGGGCACAGTAGAAATAAAACAGAGGATTTTTTACTTCTGGTAAATTTAGTAATGGCATAACGGCACCAGTTACAGTAAAAGATTTTCACACAGTAGGTTTAGCTATGAACAATGTCAAATTATATTACAGGTAGCTTATATACCAGAAACACAGATACTTGGGGACCTTTAGCCATCATTGTTTATGTATACTAACGTTGAAATGTCTTTCTCATAACTACAAACACAAACGCTACATCATTTGTAAAAGAGTAACATACAGCCAAACATCAACTGCAGACACAAGATAATCACTCAAACAGATTAGATACAAGATAAAGATAACGTAAAGTTAGGTGTTAACATAGCAATATATGAATATAATATAACAATAGACCTATATGGTGAATAACTAAACCGGCGCAATCTACACCTACATTGTCTTCCCTATTGTTAGCGTCGGATAGCACAGCTCGAGCTGCTGTTTTCCAGCTCACCTACAGCTAGATAGAATTCATCGTCTTTACTCTGGCTCCTACACCAGCCTGCACTCGTACCTGTCCAGCAGAAATAAAACCACCACGGTGTGTCAGCCCCTCGGTGTTCTCGGTGTTGAAAAGCCACGCAGATATCCCCCACCGGCCCGACCGCTTCGCTCGTCAAGTCTGAGCGAGCTGACCGGGCACGCGCATGGGGGCAGCTCTTGTAGCAGCAGTGCTGGTAGCCATGGCAGCGAGGTAGAGTGACAGCCAGCCAGCCAATCATTGCATTCGGTCCGAATGAAACGAGTGGCTGTGTTTACTGCAGCTCTGAGAGGACTACAGACAGCCGATTATTATACTCTTTTTCAGAGCACCTAACTTTTTAATATGCATTGGTGTATATAGACAGTTTCAACAAATATGACAAAAAGTGTTTTAGAAGCAACTTGCCTTTAATAAAAAAAATAGGTGAATAAAAAATGGCATTACAAAACAAACAAAAAACAAAAACACTGCAGTGGACTGGAAAGTTGTTCCTCTTTTCAGATATACAGCTCACAGTCCCGATTCTCATAAAATGATTTGTTTATATCCTCCAGGTATGTGGGCGGGTCCTTTTTCCTCCACATGGCTTAGGTCCATAGTCATTGGTTGTTTGGTTGGTTTCTTCATCACCCAATAAGGAAGGGTGTACCATTATTGTATTCATTTGGTCAGACAGACGAGCGCCGATCCCAGACGGGAAACTCCCCTTCAATCTACAGGAATAAGCAGTCTTTTGCTCTAAACTAATCATAGAGAACAACAGGGCTTGTCTACAAAATGGTTGACACCCTATCTTAAGTGTCAATGAAACAGTTAAAACAAAACAGTCCCTCTGGCTCTAAACAAAGAGGTGTCAGTTTTCTTCACATTACAAAGAGGATACAAACAATGGTTTAATCAACATTCTGATGCAATCCTCTGGCCTAAAACCCAGCAGGTTATATTTTTAGAAGACAGAGGACACTGAAATACCTTTGGTAAGAAATATCAGGTTTGTTGTAACTTTTTAAACTCTACACTTGTTGCTACTACTACTATTTATTCTGCAAAAGTATTTTTACTTTTGGAACTTATATATATTTGAACACTAATAAGAGCCATTTTCGTACACTTTACGTAGGCCTATACTTTAATTACATTTAGCTGATCATACGTATATGCGCTTTCACCATTTTAAATGCAAGACTTTTACTTGTCGTGGAGTATTTCTGCCCTGTGGTTTTACTTCTTCAACTAAAGAAAAATATGCTAGGAGAACACACATCTGAATTAAAAACTTGTAAATAACTTTTCAAAATTTCAAAAACAATATCCCAAAATACAAAAGGTACCTATACTTATATTTTACTTATATCAAATGTTGTTTATTTATTTATTGTCAAGACAAAATAATTCCCCATACTTTGAGTGTGTTGCAGCATAGGAAGTTAAAGTCACTAAACTTTCGCTGGAAAACTGCCCTTGAGGTCATGAAGTTCTTTTAAATTCATCTGCCAGGGTAAAGTGAGCTGTAATTTCTCCTAACCACTACTGGTCAGCTGTGGTCCGCGTTGGAATAACATCGAGACTGTAAATCTGTGAGGGATTAAGCAGTTAAGCAAGAGGAGTCACAAGGGAAGTTCAAAAGAAAGGGTTTTCCTTTCCCCCAAAAATCATTACAACAAAATAAAGAAAAAGATTTGGGCTCATAAAAGAGGTCAAATAAACAGAGGGTAACTAAAGCTCTGAACATAAGAGACTCAAAAAATACAACTGACCTACTACAAAAGAAACAAAGGGGACTTATATATTGGCTGATCAGACCAATTTTGACACACAGGGGGAGACTAACCTTAACACTACTACATAAACTACAAATAATGGCAAAACCTACCTAAAAACTTATTCCAAAAGAAATGTAATGTTAGTTAACCTTAACTCAACAAAAATACTCAAATATAAATCTAATCCCCAAAATATCTAAGGAGAGAATAAAGCTACCCCCCGGACAGAACAAGAAGTGGTAGTGTCCAATTAGGCCACTTCCCCTATAAAGCTGCTCCTGCTCCAAGCACCACCCCTTTAAGACAGCAGACTTCCTGGATCCTTCCAGGGTGTGGAATCCAACACTGTTAAGCTCAAAACAAATAGTTATACAAACAGAAAAACAATTCAAAAGTAACTAATGGTGTGTGCTCCAAAAAGATACTTTTGTATGTTCAACTAAATAAAATATAATGTATGTAAAATGAACCAAGTGTATTGTGATTTATTTGTAACTAAATAAATGTTTGCAACAAATGCATAATGTGTATGAAAAAAATATATAAACTAAGCCTAAGGAAAAGCAGCATACAAAAACAGCATAAACTAAGGACAAAATATAAGTTGAACCACAGGATTTTCAGGGGTTTAAGTTTTCCTCAAAGATCCCCTCTAGACAAGTTTGTTACCATATAAAATAATGTGCTTGAAATAATAATTTGGTTCTGATATAGTTAGTATAGTGCATTTCATGATGATGTAAAGAGAACAACGAATGTCATGTCTACTTAATTACTATCCAAGAAAAAGGAACGCAAATGTTTGTTCAGGTTCACATCTTTATTTTTACACACAAAGTGGTAATTAATCTGACATGAAACAAAATGAGAAGAGAAATAAACAAATAATCCACACATCTGGCTCATTATTGCAATTGGTTTACTGTAGGTTGAACCACCAGGTTAAAGTACTGCAGTGTTTTGTTTTTTCAGATTTAGTATGAAATGTTACGGGTCTCCACCTTTTTGATGACAAGTGCACCTGACTTTCGCGGCTGGGGGCTTTCAACTGGGATGGCTGTCGGGAAGAGAAAATACAAAAATTACATACACACACTGTGAGCTGCCACAGCAATCCTAATGCCAATGGTAATAAACTTCAGTTGAAAAATACAGTACTTACATTTAGTGGGCACCGTTTGGATGTTGACAATAGATTCCTGTCCAAGTCTACAGGAGAGAAAGCAGGAAATACACTGTAAGCATTGATGTACTGACAAAGTAAAAGGTTGTTACACAGTGTTATAGAGATGCAATGCTAAATTGGAGAATAACTAGGCTATTTTAAGCTGTGACCTCAAATTGATGACCATCATCAGGCAAACTAACTTTAGCCTAACATTGCCCTCCCTTAAAAGCATAAATTAGCCTGTAATCAGTGATACTGCTGAGATCTACCAGCACATCTCACCTTTCCTCCTCTCCTTCCAGCAGCTTCCTGTAGGTGGAGATCTCTATGTCCAGGGCCAGCTTGACATTCATGAGGTCCTGGTAATCTCTGAGTTGCTGAGCCATGTCCTGCTTGGCCCTCTGCAGAGCCAGCTCCAGGTTCCTGATGCAAGCCTTGGCATCCTGCACGGCCGCCTCCCCGCGCTGCTCCACTTCTGCTTCCTGGGCCTTAAGGTTGTCACGCTGGAAAATAGTATCAGGGATAGATGGTTTAAGCATTCAGTAAGATCTGAGCATGTCAATCACTCCTTGCAAGTAGATAATCGAAGATTAGTAATTACTTATGGGCTACTAGACAATCTGACTATTTCATAATAATTAAGAGTTAATGTGTTAATGCAGCTTGAAGAGGAGTATTAATGTTGTAAAGCGTTGCTTTTTCTCCATGTAATGATTCCTTTTTGCACCCAGCTCTTCACTGATTTGTAGCACCCATCAAACTTAAGGCTTATTGCGTGTATTATCCAACACATTTTAACAACAAACAACAAGTCCAGTTGCCTTTCACTTTCAACATATCAGACACTCTATAAACCTTTCCCTCACCTGTGCTTTTACTGCCAGGATCTCATTCTGCAGGCGGCTGATCATTCGGTTTAGCTCAGATATTTCCCCCTTGGCGCTGCGCAGCTCATTGCCGTACTGATCGGCCTCAGCAGCCATCTGATCAAACTGGTGCCAGCAGATATCAAACAGAGGAACACACATGAAGAGATCAGTAATTATTAGGTCTGACAAGGGTGTTTCCTGGCAAAAACACTGGGTATTGTAATAGACAGAGCTTTGGTTAACCTGTTTAAGACCTGTTCTATTACAATAAACAGCAACATTATTATTAACGTTAGATCTAGGGTCATGTATTTTTTTATTCTCTACCTTGTTCTTGTGCCAGTTTTCAGCTTCTTCACGGCTGCGGGCGGCAATGTCCTCATACTGAGCCTTAACCTCAGCCACGATCTGATCCATGTTCAGGCCTCGGGAGTTATCCATCTGCACCACCACAGAGGTCTCCTTAAGGCTCTCCTGCAGCTCGCGTAGCTCCTTTTTATAAAACAGTACATACAGCAACCGTAAGAAGATAAAATTCAGAATACAAAACAAGCTCACATAGTGTATATATATTTTCTTTCATTTAATATCTTTGACATTTTGAGAAGATTTTGAGTGAATGGTTAATTACCGCATCATACAGAGCCTTGTGGAAGTTGTATTCATCAGTGATAAGAGACACCTTGTCGTCTAGATCCACCTTGGCCAGATAGCCTGCGTCCACATCCTGCAGGCAGTCAGTATAAAACAACCTTTTCTCAGTGCTTAACCTTTTACATTTTACCATAGCAACATGGAAAGTTTTTGTAGCCCAACATGGAAAATTATTAGTAGAGAAATTGCTTATAAAACTGTGAATTTCATCAGTTAATACAAATGGTTCAGAGCTTAATCTGAGTTTTAAAAAACATACTAGTCACCAGTGTGACACCTAAAGAAAACAAGAATCTATGATAGCCATCATGACTGCATACTGTACCTTTTTGAGCATGACAAACTCATACTCTGCTTCATTCCTCTTGTTGAGCTCATTCTCATACCTGAAACACCCCACACATATCAGCTTATTCAAGCAGATCTTATCACTATGAACTTCAATACCAAATGTCTAAAACTCCACTCAAGTACACAGGCTTGACTGTGGCTCAGTTTCTGTCGCAAAAAAAGTGTCTTACTTTTTCTTGTATTCGTCCACCTGTTTGTACATGGCATTGTTCTCCATGTCAAGTCTGTGTTTGTCATTGTTGATAACCTCCAGTTGTCTTTGCAGGTTGGTGATGTAGGACTTAAGCATGGGCTCAATGTTAGAGGCGGCGACGGTCTGTCCCTGCAGCATATTCCACTTGGTCTCCAGTAGTTTGTTCTGCTGTTCCAGGTGTCTTACCTGTAGCATGACGAGGACGTACCAGCCAAATCAAATGCTTTCTAACATCTTTTACAGAGATCGTGTAAGTCATTTAAATGCCAATTCAAAGGGTAATAATGGATTTAAGTAGATTATCAGGATTATGAAAGTGATTAAAATCTGACACTCAAGATTGATCAGTAAGAGTTACAGTGAAATTTCCTCTTACCTTATCAATGAAGTTGACAAAACGGTTGTTGAGACCCTTGATCTGCTCTTTCTCCTGGTTGCGAACAGCTTGGATGGTGGGGTCGATGTCTATCTTCACTGGAGTCAGCAGGCTCTTGTTGATGGTCACGGCTGTAATCGGGGCCGCCTGGTTAGCCCCAGAGCTGATCTTGGAGGCAGAGTAGGAGCCCATGGACATGCTACTGAAGCCCCCTGAGGACATGTGAAGTCCTGGATAGGTGCTTCGTTTGCTCCTGAGACTCATGGTAGTGCTGCTGCAGAGGATGGAGAGGTCAGGCGCTGGTCGAGCTCTGTTTTGCATCTCACTATCTCTTGGGTGCTACTTTATAGGCAGGTCTGGGTGTGGTGTGATACTCAAGTTATTTCACTCCTAAATGTGGGTAAACCAGTCTGACGCATGCCACCTGTTCTCCCACCTACCCCCTCCGAAAACGTATTGTTTTTGTTGTTAGGCTGGAATTCATGCCTGCTCTGCAGCTTAAGGTGTGTTGCAATTGAGCAATACAGTTTAAGTGTTTTCTAGAAGGAAGCACTGGGGTCTGTACAAAATTAGAAAGTACAGGCAGTACTGTGATCTAAGAAGTCATCGATGAGTTAATATTATAACATTTGTGTTTCGGTTTTCTACCTTTTCCTGTCAGACAACAGTTACTGATCACAGAAAAAAAGTAGATTAAGTCAAAATGTTTTAATTACTGCTACAGACACAATGTTATACTGCTATTTTCGTTTTTTTTAATGTCATGTCATTGACCACTGTTGTGAAAGTCGGTTGTAAACAAAAAACAGGGCAGTCTTTGCTTCTTTTTTTTTTTCAAAATAATAATAAGAGCTTGATTGGTCTAGCACTTTTCAACACAGGTAACGAAGTGCTTTACAAAAATAAATAGAAAACAAGTCAAAATAAAATTAAAGATAAAAATAGGCATCACACAATAAAAGAAGTGAGGTAAAACAGGGAACTGACTCTGCAAGCCTGATCTCCTCTGGCAGATTGTATCAGAGTGTAGGGTCCTGGACAGCAAAGGCCATGTCTCCTTTGGTATTTAGCCTAGACCTTGGAATGACTAGTAACGCCCTGCCAGAGTGTTCTCAGTCTGCATGCTGTCTCTTGAGGGCGATGAAAGGAGATATAGAAAGGAGATAACTCATGCCTTAAATAGTAGTAATAAAACAATTTTGAAATCAATCACCTAAAATAAACTGACAGCAGGCGCAAGAATGCTAAAACTGGGGTGACATGGTGACATTTGCCAACTTTAGGCGATGGATTGATTTCTGACTTAGACAGATGTAAGGGGACTTACAGTAATCGAGGCAGGGAGATATTTCTCAAATGATTAAAAACACAGTCCTGTTCAAAAACTACTCCAAGATTTCTTGCTGAGGGCTTACCATAAGTTTACATTTACATTTACATTTACTCATTTGGCAGACGCTTTTATCCAAAGCGACTTACATTTGAGGAACAACATACAAGCATCAACAGAGCATTAAATACAGATCAATTGACAATACAGACAATAAGTTGCTAGTTCACCTAGGCTTGACATGATTTCAATTCTGTTTGTTGGGGTATCAAGTACAATGTTGTGGAGGGTTGCTATGTTAGACTGGTCACCAGGTCTGACTGGAATACGGAGCAGTGTGCCAACGGAGTAACAGTGAAACTGGACATATTTGTGGATGTCACCAAGAAAGAGCATATAGATGGAGGATAAAATGGCGCCTAGAATTGAACCCTGGGACACCATAGAGCATGTTCGTGGGGGATGAAACTGAGCTGGTCATTCTCACAGAGAAACATCTACTAGATAGGTAGGACCTGAACCGGTTTGAGGCCACATCAGTGATTTCTGCCCACCTTTTCAGTGGAAAAGTAAGTCAACTGCAGCAATGTATTTCTTCATTAAGGCCTTCATCTAGCTAAACTCATAATAAATGTGGAGTTGGCAGGCCTTCCATTTGCACGCTGCTTTGTGTACCTGCGTACAGGGGGACTTTTGAAATTGTTTTGGTTCATGGTTCTGATCTCCCTCTCCCTTTTGACACCAGTCATCACCTTCCTACAGACCAATAACTTGTATAACCAGGTTAATTTCTGGAGGTTTTATCATGGCGGTGTGTCACTGAAGCTGTGCCACTTGCACATCAATATATCCATCAATATATTTATGGTAGGTAAAGCTGGGAGGAAAATATATGCGAGAGACCGTGTGTGCAAAGACATCACACAGTAAAAGATCAGCAATGATAATAATGGTTTAGTTTTGGGAAGGCTTGGTGATATGATTTTTGGGAAGCAGCCAAGAGGAGACAAAGGGTGGGAGGGTATCAGGAACACGGAATCAGTGGCAGTGTGCAGTATAAAGTGTGAAAATGAAAATGACGCATTGTTAATCCTTCAGACATGCCACAACAATAAAAGGCATGCGTTACCCAAAATGCATCCTTTCTTTCATCTTAACTGCACACTTCTGCATTACTGAGAGGTTTTGTCTTACAACATCATAGATTCACCTTCTCATAGGCATATTTTTATTTTACACCATCACACCAGTTATAGGGCCTATAAATTAGCATTTAACAGTGTTGTAACATGGCTACTTTCTCAAGTCTTACATCCCAACATAAATGACATACTGGGGGATTTCAATGGCAGATGGTGTGTATGTCACCCAAAAGGAAGTTAAGAAAAAATGTATTCGCAGTGCAAGAATTTCCACAGGCTGGTTGGTGATGACTTGGACACCATTGCAAATACATCGAATTAACACAACGACTGGCATGTGAACATTAAAACTCCATTTATGCAAATCCAGAAGAGATGGTTTTATTTTCTGAGGAATCAACTTGTGGCAGGGGTTATTTCTGTCAGTAAGAAACTGTACATATTGTCATTGTATATATGATTTATCTGTAATTTACTCTAGACTGTCACCGAGAGACATGGTGTGACGTAATTGAAACAACGCACTTTTAGGCTACTTGATGTTTAGTTGTTTTGACATTTACAGTGCAGTGTTGCCTCTCTGAAAGGCAGGAGTGCAAATAATGAGAGGGAATGCTTGGAATTAGGGAGTGTTACTTGTAATTCAATTGTACAGCCCAACTTCAAGGGTTTCCTTGTTAATTCTTTCCATGCTTTAAATTTATTGCATGCTGTGTCTGTTAAACTACTTATTATGTGTGTTTTTGTGTGTGTTTTTTTTTATTTGAAGAGTTTGCAGGTTAACCTTTTGAAACTGAGAAAAACTTAAACTTTAGATCAGATCAAAACAGCAGCTGACCACTGGTTTCATCAAAGTTGTTTTATTTTTTATTTCATCATCATTTGTATGATTTGGAATTTGCATAGCAAAAATGTAGGCCTATAGGAATTATGGTTTCAGACCCTTTAATTGTGATTTAATGAGTGTAGTGTGTTGGCCAAATGGTGGAATGAACAGGGGCGAGTTCAGCGCAGACAAAACGTAGCAAAACGTTTTTTTCAACGGAAACGGTGGTCTCCTGAACACCCTGTTGTGTACGCAAGCGCACTGCATTTTCCTGGCTTTTTAACGCCGTTGTGTTTACAAACTTGTTGCAGTTGATTGGGTAACACATGAGACACGCCCATCAAACCTGAGAAAACATACCCCGAAGCCCGTTGCAGAACGTTGCGCAACGTTTCAAGGAAACATGCAGTTCAATCGGAAAACGTTGATTCAATATGAAATCAATGAACTTTGATAAAACCAAAAGTGAAAAAAACAGCAAGGGGGGCTATTTGTGATTCAGTTGTATAGTAGTAAACAGTTGTTGAACACACACACAAGGCAAAAGGTTGATATAAACTTTTCTTATTTTGTACAGTCTATGCTATGATGCTATGAAACATACAGTGACGCGTGCTGCATTCAAGTGAGGCATGTGAGCTCCGTTTAACACGAACTCATTCACGTTACATGTCTGGTTGGAAACGACAACATATTTGACTTATTTTAAAATTGGGTTTAGACCTTAGGTTTAGACGGTTGATATTCACGCGATGTAGAAAATAAAAATAAATTAAGCAGTAGTCTACGTAAATGTTTGTTGCTGAAGAATAGTACACGAATGCCGTCTTGTGACGCGTCATGAGTTTAACGTTATTCTCCACACCAAGTTAAGGGGGCACTGTAGTCACGTGACTGCTAGTCCAAAACACCGAGGACCCGATCAGCTTGTAAACAACTGAGCAAGGAGGTGTGACAGTCCGCCAGCGAACTTTCTCAGCGTCGACCGAGCAAAGAGTAAAGCTACACCAAATCATCGCTCACCTGTCCGGTAGACAGGCCGTTTCAATGCATTACAGAAGACCGAAAACACCGCGGGGATCATGGATGTGTACGATTTGTTTAGTAGTTGCAGAAAGGGCGACATTTGTAGAGTCAGGTAACCAGCGGCTCAGCTGACGTTGTTATGGCTTGGTTGTCTTTGCATGTGTGCTGAGAGCTCGTTTAATTTCCTTAACATGGCTGCAGTTGCAGCAGCGCTGTTATTTTCCGTTTTCCCCAAACCTCTCTTACAAAACATTAGCCTGTTTTTATTTGGCCTCCTCTGGACTGCGAAACCCAAAGCTTTCTGCATTGTCTTGCAAATAAATAGGAGGTAAACACGGAAGCTGGGTTGCTAACATTAGCTTTGGTGAACCAGCTGACGATTGTAGGCCAAGTGCTCAGTTTCCACATGCAACGTAGTTAGGTAAGATACTGCACTATCTGTCAGTGTCGGGTGTTTAACATGATGGTATATGGGTCATTTACTGCTGCCTGCTATAACGTTACAGCTTAGCTACATTGTGATTGATATAAGTCACTTCCTCTGCTTTGGGACAGCCTGGTATGTCCTGCTGATAATGAAAAGAGCAGTAATTAGTCAAGCCAAGTCAGTGCAATACCCTGCTTAACTATCCAGCTAACTGCAAACGCAAATTTCTCCATCACTGCAGCATATAGGATCTATCATATTACAAATAAAAATGTCTGTGTTTCCATGGTGCTGATGACAACAGCAATTGGCATGGAATACGAAATCCAAAATCAAAGGGGTCATCAAACAGAAGTAGGCCTGCATATATTGTTATTTGTATACAGCTGTGTGTCACACATGTACACGCTTGCTCCTGTGTGATGCTCCCATTTGATTGTCACTGACACTGTTTCTGTAACCACTCATTTCAACAATGACTCTTTTCTTTTCTCTCATAAGATACCTTGTTGAACAAAGAGACGTGGACCTCAATGTAAGAGATAAATGGGACAGCACCCCTTTGTAAGTACAATTTAGGCAAGCAGCCTGATTCTCTGGCTAACACACCGTCATTATCGTAACAACTTAAAATGTCAATGTCCTTGTTCTTTAGGTATTATGCTTGTCTCTGTGGTCATGAGGAGCTGGTCCAGTACCTGTTGGCTAGTGGTAAGGCTGAAATTATACTGGAGTGCTGGTATCTTTTTGTTTGTTAAGTGATGCAAACATTATAAAACACTAAACAATAAAACAGCTGTGGCGAGATGTCATTGTAAAATGTAGTATAATTGAGTCTTTCCCCCTTCGCTTTGCTTTCAGGTGCCAAGTGTGAAGCCAACACGTTTGATGGCGAGAGGTGTATGTATGGCTCTCTGAATGACTCTGTTCGACGCCTGCTCAAAGATTATAAGTGTGTCAGTGTCCGCGCCATGCAGCGGGATGATTTTAACTACTTTCTGCACATGTAAGAAAGCCTGTTGTTGTATGTAAACCTGCATACAACCCTTGCATTTCTCCATCTAATCCAAATTATGTGTGTTTTTGCTTTAGGTTACTGGAGCAGGGGCAACACAGCGACGTCAAGTTCCTGGTTCATGGACAAATATTTACAGCCCACCGATGTGTTCTCAGTGCCCGCTCAGAGTACTTCACTGATATGTTTGAGACTAAATGGAAAGGAAAGAACTTGATCACCCTCAAACACCCTTTGGTAGATAAGAATATATATTCTGGATGATTAATTCTGTGTTGCTCTGTGTTATTATATAATTGTGTCTTATATAAATGCATATTGTGTCTGTCTATATCTGTGTGGATAAAAGCGGTTTTGATTTCAGGTCAACCCTGCAGCCTTTGGAGCTATTCTGCAATATTTCTATACAGGTGCGTGTTTATTAAACTGCAAATATTCAGGCTACATTTTCAAAAGTCCCATATAATTCTCAATTTTAGGCTCACATTTTATTTTGTGTCTACTAGGAAATGTTTACATGCTTATTATTATTTTTATTATTATTATAATATTATTTTTCTCATACTTTCCATTGCTTCAGCACCTCTACTCTCTGTTTTATCTACTGTCTCTTTAAGGCCCCCCTCCCTAAAAGCCCACTGACTTCTCATTAGCTAACTATTGGAAGCTGTTTTTTTGGTGAAACTGGATCATATTTTATGGAGAAAATATTTTCTGGTTTTCTCTCTGATGTCCTCTGCCTGGTCTGCCTCAACTTTCATTGATTTATAGAGTTTCCTGATGGATAGCTTCACATGTTAGAAGTTACATTAACCACTAACTACTGTTAACGGTACCTGCCGCATAGGTAGTTAGCTCAGTTAGCCGTGCAGCTAGCTGTCCTAGTAGATCACTCTAGCAGGAATAGAAGCTTGGTGCACTGGGGGTGTGTTGGTGTTCACACCTCAAACGTTACACCCAGTTCAGGCAGAGCCAGTACAGTTAGCTGTACCTAGCTGTATCTGTAGCATTAGCAACAAGTAAAGCTATCTGTCCATCAGGAAACTCCGTAAATCACAGAGAGTTGTGGCAGAATAGCTGGAGAAGATCAGAGGGAAAACCAGGAAATATGTAACTTTCCTTCATAAAAGGACTTTCTGCGAGACATACTGAACAACCTCTAGCTCAGCGATGGAATGACTGCTTGGTGTTGTATTGGAAAAAGGTTGGACAGTGGGGGCTGAGATCAGTGTATTCAGTACGTGTTTAGTGGGCAGGGCCGTGTGGTAGACTGAAGTGCAAGAGGAGGTCTTATGTTATACAGATCTCTCCATGACATCATGAAGGGAGACAAATTCAAACGGTGTGTTTGCACACATTTCCTGAACAACTGAGCTGGAAAAAAAGAACGAAAGATGTTTTTTGCTCATAGTTTTTGCTCAAAAACGAGAGAAAGTGCATTTTGCATAATATGGGACCTTTAAGACTTTGCAGGAATATTCAGGCAGTACTATTTTTTTTTTTATGTGTCAGTAACAAAGATTTATGTCTGTTGAGATCCTAGGTCATCCAGGTCATAGATATTCAAGGAGGGTTAAATCAAGGGCAACTGGACTTGATTGAAGATACTTTGGAGTATACAGGAAACCCATACACACAGTCCAATACTTACTCTGACTCTCACCACCTACTGAAGCATAAGCCGTGCATTATCAGAACCCTGCAACACCAAGCTGATAACATACCAAGTGCCCAGACCAAGAGATAGACCGCAAACACCTGACTTGCAGCTTGTAGATATCCAAACTGGACCTTTTATGGGGAAGAAAACAGCCACAAGATCCAGGAAGAACACAGGCGCTACGGGTGATGAGGAAAAGAAGAATAAGTGCAACAACATCTTAAGTCCATAAGGTGTCTGGAGTATCACAGAAACTCAACAAGCACCACATCCCTGTGTTTTTTAAACCCAACAACAAGCTAAGAAAAAGACTGGTCCACCCAAAAGACTGCACCCCAAAAGACTGCACACCAAAACACAAGAAAAAAAATCTAGTGGACACTGTCCAGTGCAGTGAGGAATTCACAGGCCTGTATATCAGGGAACTTAAACAACCACTACACAAACGGCATGGCTCAGCACAGAAGCTTATGTCAAGACTCAGCTGTTTACCTGCGCCTGAAGGACATGGGACGCTCTTTCGAACCAACCCCATTTATATCCCCCACCTACAATGCTGTCCTTCCATCCCTTCCCAGGATATTAAACAAACATTTGGCCTCGTGATGATGCCAACGACGGTCTTTCAGACAAGGCCTCAGGTGACTCCAGTGACCATGACTGTTGTTCCAACAGCTAAGAGCACTAACAAACCAAGTGGTATCCATCACCTTGATGAGAGGCAAAACATCTTCTAGTATCTTCAATAAGTCCAGTTTCCCTTGATTTAACTCTCCTTGGATAACAAAGATTTAGATCAAATTGTGTATCATGAAGAAATTGAATGCAGTCTTGTAATATTTTTCTATAACATACAAACCACTGTGCTCGCACTGGTCTACTGTATATGTAGTCTAGGGGAAAAAACAGTTGAATTAAAAAGTCTTAGGAGCTCTTTTCATCAGTTTTTTCCCTTAATGTTACAGGACGAATGGATATTGATATAAGCCTTGTGGAGGACTCCAGACGACTTGCTAAACAGTGCAAAATGGCAGACCTAATCGAAGAGCTGGAGAATAAATGCAAACAGGTGTATGAATTTGGTAAGACGATACTCTTGGTCTATGTTCACACAGATTTTTTTCCTCAAGGTACAAAGTCACAAAACGGTCAACAAAAATTAAGGGTGATACAACTGTTGAATAGCAGGTATGTTGGCATACAACCCAGCCACCCAGCCAAGCCAGGCTTTATGTCTCCCAGCAACTTTATTTAAAAAATTTGTGTATGTGTGTTACCAGTGTAATACACACAACTTTTCAGATAGTCTCAAATACCAAAACATTTTAACTGTAGTGTCTCATTAAGCTCTCGACCCTTTTTATCTTTTCCACATGAGTGATGTCTGTCTTCTTTCCTCAAACTGAAGTGTTCAACAAGCCAGGAGTCTGTGTGAAAGTTCTCAGCCTGGAGCCTAACAGCTGTCAACTTCAAGATGAGATGGCTCAGTTAGCAGACTGTGCACTTCCCACTGAATTAAGGGTAAGGGCGTGATGGTAAAAAAAATCAAGGACACTAATCCAACCAACACTACTATAGCTGCTATTCTAAAATTTTTAATAAGACTATTTTGACTTTTTTTGTGGATTCCCCCCAGGTTGGATTTGGTGAACTTCCCTTTAACAGAGTCGACTGCTTCCCTACTTATCCTGACATCTGCTTCAGAGTTGATGGTTACAATTTCTTGTGTCATAAGGTACTAATTACAAGTCTCACACAGCCTTCTTCTGTCACATTACAGACCCTCACTCCCTTCCTAGATCCTGTCAAATGAATATTAGAGTTTTATTCTGTGTATGTGTGTTTGTGTCACTCCAGGCGTTCTTCTCTGGACGTAGTGATTATTTTAAAGCCTTGCTGGAGGACCACTTCAGTGAAGGAGAGCAGCTGCAGTCCCAGCCCAGCACCCCAGTGATTACTTTACACAACATTGCCCATGAAATATTTGTCAACGTCATGTATTACATCTATACTGACGACACAGAGGTCAGTGCCCAATTTCTTCTCTACAATACTGTTTCCAAAAAGGTTGGCGTGCTGTGTAAAATGTAAATACAAACAAAATGTGATGATGTGAAAAACATTGAAACCAAGTATTTAATTGTCAACAAAAGACTGGAAAAGTTGTGAAAAGCACAGCTGGTGGAACATCTCACAATTAATTAGGTCAACTGGCAACAAGTTAATAACATGATTGGGAGAAAAAGAGCATCCCAGTGTTTCTGAAGTAAAGACGAAGAGGGGTTCACCACTCTGTGAAAAGTGCAAAGAGGACTGAGGCGAAGTGAAAAACTGTCCTGTAGTCTGACAAGTCAAACTTTACATTCTCTTACATTTACATTCTGAAATCATGGACAACATGTCCTGCAGGCCAAAGAGGAGAGGGACCATCCGGGTTGTTATAAGTGCACAGCATAAAAGCCAGCATCCAGCATCAGTATGGCACGGGTAACTTGCACATTTGTGAGGGCACCATTGATTTTGAGCGATTTATACAGCTTTTGGAGCAGCATATGTTGCCAAGTAGGTGACATCTTTTTCTATTTCATCTATCTATTTCAGCTAGACAATGCCAAACTACATTCTGCACGTGTTACAACAGCATGGCTCTGTAGTAAAAAAAAAAGAAAAAAAAAAAGACTAGGTGCTAAACTGGCCTACCTGCAGTCCTGACTTGTCATCCACTGAAAATGTTTGGCGGTCATGGAATGTAAAATACAATAAAGGAGACCAGACTGTTGAGCAGCTGGAATCCTACATCCAGCAAGAATGGGGAAACATTTCACATTCAAGATTACAGCAGTTGGTCTCCTCAACATGTGACTCAACACAGTAGTAACCTTGACAAACTTTTTCTAAACACGTTGCTGGCCTAAAATTCAAAATTGGTATATCATTTTCCAAAAACAATACATTTTCTCATTTTCAACATTTGATAAGTTAGTTAGTATTTGAGCTATTTTCAATGAAATATTTGGTTCAGTGCACATCATCACATTTTGTTTTTTATTTACATTTTACACAGCGTTCCAACTTTTTTGGAAATGGAGTTGTATTTTGTGCAACTGTTTATCAGGGATGCAAACCTGTCATTCAGTGAGAAAATTTCAAAACAGTTTCTTGTCAGTCTGGTTGTTTTAAAAAATAAAGACGCTAAACGGACGGATCACTTTTACGTATCAATTAGTAGCTGATAAACTGGTTTCCTACTGCTAGGTATGAGCCTATTAAAAAAGTTAAACAGTGGTGTCAAAAAATAAGCAGTTTCACTGTTGATTTTTTTTTACTTACTAACCAAGCTCTTTCTGTTGTGTTCCAGTTACAAAATAATCAATATATTTATATTAACAGTGGATCAAATGATGACTTTGATGGTTTTCCAGCCTGTTTTGATTCTTTCCCACTGCTCTTATAGCATTTTCTACCGTAGGAGGAAGCTGTTTTTAATGAAAAAGCTCTAAAAACTCAATCTATCTGCCCAGCAGTAAACAGCAGACAGACACAGTAAGCGACTAGCTGGTGAATGTAGTGGAGCATTGAGCAGCTAAAGAGCCAGATGTTTCCCTGAGGAGTTGGTGGAGACCAAAAGATGATTGAAAATTGGACTTGAAACTCAACTTCAAATGAATGCTAATGTTGCTCCATGTCTGCAGGCTGTTCACCATAACAACTTACAAGGTAAAATAATATGTCAATGTTGTGTTTACAGCTTGTTTTCCCCAGTTGTTGCAGGTTTAGAATTGAAAAGAATTAATGCACCCCTTCCAATAAATCCTTAGTGTTTCTTCAGATTTTCACACCTTGACAGGTTTGCATCCTTGACCTATGTAACATACTAAATATTTAAACTATATATTTTGTGGAAACACTTACCAAAGGTGATTGTGAACACAAACAAACTCATGTACAAAAGACAGAAAAGTAGCCCTGTTGTAAGGATGCCATGTTGATCTGTTCATAATGCATTGGAGAATGAGAATGAAATGTTCATCATTATTATCTGACAGCTGACTGGATATTTCTTTATGCCCAGCTAACATCAGAGAACGTGTTTGATGTGCTGTGCGTGGCTGACATGTATCTGCTCCCGGGGCTGAAGCGTCTCTGTGGGAAGACGCTTGCTAAGATTACGTGCGAGGACAATGTTCTGAACATGTGGAAGACGGCAAAGCTTTTCCGTCTCTCTCGGCTGGAGGACCACTGCACAGAGTTCATGGCCAAGATCATTGATCGGGTGGGTGACTGTGTTGACATTGGAGGGTGCTTTATTTTGGCTGGGTAACAATAGGGTGCCTCGGATATTGCAGCAGGTGGCTGAAGTGCACACAAAAAAGCAACATAAAGGGCAAGCCAAAAAGGAAATACAAAGACATAAGAGGAAGTCACAAAAATCTTAGTTTGCAAAAGTAAAAATATTTAAACACCAGGAATGAGAAATAGGAATAAAACAAAAAGTCACATAGTAACATGTCAGGATTACTATGTTTTAGAAAATGTTTTGCTGTCATGTTGATGGTACTCACTGCCTCTTGTATATCTGTCAACAACATTATACCGAAAGTCACAGTAAAGAAAGACCTTTGAGGCCATATAAGAATACTTTTTGTTGTGTCTGAGGGCCACATGATCCCAGTCTTCGCAATTTAACACCCGTGAGCCAAGGTGTCGATGTTGTGTATGTCTAGTGTCAGTTGCGCTCACTTCCCGTCCAACCTGTCTGTCACAGCTGGTGGAGCAGGACGAGTTTGCAGAGATCATCAAAGAGGACGCTGCATCGTTGGAGGAGCGACACGAGACCGACTCCGTCCCCTTGGTGGATGACATCCGCTACCACATCGCCAGCAACGTGCAGACTTACAGCGCTATCGAGGAGGCCAATCAGAAGCTAGAGGCCTTGGAGGAGCTGCTCTCCACCATTAATATCGAATGCTGAGGGCTCGGCAGGTTGTGCTTTGTGGCTTCAACTGCTGTGGAGTTTGAAGTTTTTAAGGCGTATACTTTGGGAAGGGGACATATGAAACAAAACATATGCTTCTCTGTGTTTGGAGGTTTTATTTTATTCACAGCATATTATACAGAGTGTATATTTTCAGTGGATGTTCTCATGTTACAGAGGCATTTTCAGAGAAAGCTGTTTATGTTGTCTGTTTAAAGATTGTTCGAGTAAGACTCGAAATATTAAGTTCTGTAAGGAAAATTGTGAATTATATATTTACAACAGAATATCTTTGAATTGCACATGCATGAATTTATTATAGATATATTATAGTGTAGCTGCTAAAGTTTTAACTAGCTGCTTATTTAGCTTTTTTAAAATGTAGTTTGGCCCCATAAAAGTTCAGCACCAGCCCTCATGTTGAAACTCCGTCATTGGAGTTATTATATTATTATTATTATTACTAGTGTATTCTAAAAGAAAGAGCCAGTGCGAGTGCATCCCATGCACTGACACACGCTTGATAACGGAGTAAAAAGATGAACACTGAAGTATATGTTTACGTCATTCATCCAGAATATAATTTTAACCTTTAACTTCTTATTTTAAGTAGCCTAACGTAGAATATTTCATGATGTGCAGAAGCAGGCAACTTTTATTTTGATTGGATATGGCTGCTGCTCAGTGACACCCCTCAACTATGAATACTTACACTTATCCCCCTTAAACATATTCCAGCCCTTTATTTAAATGGAAATGGAAAGGCAAGAAAATAAAGCTCTTACCAAACTGTTTGCATGTAAAATTCACCATCACCGCAGGGAAATATTAAGATTTGTTTTCAAGATGGTGATTTCCTGTTTTCAGTGTCACCCTGCTTTTATGATAATGGATAAACAGTTGTTCTCGGTTTTGGCAATTAAACGTGGCATAGCATGTTTTTTTCAGTTTGTCATTGTGGTTTCAATAAAAGTACATTTCTTTTACTTATAGAATACATCTAGCCAAACTAGCGTCATGGCTCTATGGTGTCTGACCATCCACCAATTTGGTCAAGACTTAAATATCTCAACAACTACTGAATGGAGCGCCATGAAATGTGGTTCAGACATTACGCCTCACACGATAATCTCTTAACTTTTCACCTAGCGCCATCATCTGGTCAAAATGTCATTTTCTGTGAACAAATTAAGTTTAAGTGTAGGAAGCCCCCTAAAGATGGCGCCATTTCTGTACTTACCAGTGTGGTTGTGGTGAGTCTTCACCACAGGATGTCTGTTTTAGAAGAAACACACCTCCTCATGCATTGTGGGAAACAAATAAATCTGTCATCCAGGTCTCTGAATTCATGGGAATATTTTCTGAATGGGGCTGTTTTTCAAATACCCCATCTATCACAAGTCTACAAAGGTGTGAAGAAAGACAGGAAATAGTTAGCAGTGATTTAATGTGTGCGTCAGTGTACTTGCATCATAGTTTATAATTGGGAGTCCCTGTGAGCTCCATCACTCTCATTTCAAAGAGTCTTGGCGGTGAAGACAAAGCTGTACATCACCTTAATGGAGCCCTGAGGTTAAGAACAGTGGGTAAGCTCAAATCCCAACAGGGAGTACGCTGTGGAGCAGAGCTGCTGTAAGAACACATTAAAGTGCAGTTCAACCAAAACGCTAAGTCCATCCTTTGGACAACAAAACCCTTGGCTTCCAGCCCAGCGTCTTGAAGGCTTACATATTGAAAAAGACTAGAATAAACAACACAATTAGTTATTGCCCCAGCAAGTATCTTTTACAAATGTTGAATGGTTGTTTCTAAGCAACTCTGTGTGGTTCCGGTCTTGGGTGGGAAAGTCCAGTTTATTGCGTTTTAGATTGACATCACGCCAAGCTGACAAGTGGATATTGATGCTCTGTACAAGAATAACTTGTTTTTTTCATAACTTTACTCAATTTCCATGGAGACTGTAGTCAAACCCATCGGCGTCGCCAGGTCATTTTTTAGCCCCGGATGTTATGACTGTAGTCCCGAATATAACTCAACAACAGCAACAAAAATATTTTCCATGTTAATATGCAATAATCTTTATGACGCAGCCTCTCTCGCAGGTCTTCAAAGAGCACAGGCTACTCGCAATAATATCGCTACATTTTGTTTAAAGTTCAAGTAACGTGACCCCCCCACCCTTACTAGCCTGCCTGCCTTTAGAGGGAGCACGAGAGAGAGAGAGAGCGCGCACTGCGAACAGCTTCAGGGCTTGTCCGCGACTTCTGAATTGTCCCCAGCAAAATTTTAATCATTACATTTAAATATAAATATTGTCGGTCAGTGTCTAGTTAATGTATTAACACATAGAGTCGCCGCAAATTACTGAGAGAATATCATGACACCTGACCGCGAAACAGACACCTGACGATGTATCCTGCTGTCTCTGTCCCCCTCGCTGTGAGACACTACCGTTTTACTGTCTCCAGGATACTTCATTCTCTCTAAAGCGGCTGGGAGCTGCACTTCATCAGAGGTGCTGAAGTGAACATTTGTGTGGAATTGTGGTGATATTTCTGTCTGATCACAAGTGTTTTCTGGTTCGTTTTTTTCCTCTGATGAAGAGCAGTCTCATCGAGTAGGCTACAGTCCCAGACGGGCTGTGTGTCTGTCAGACGGTCTAAATGGGGTAGCCTCAGGGGTGGACTGGTAATCTGGCATGCCGGGCACCGGTGGGCCTTCGAAGCTTTGGGGCCGGTGTAACGTAAATTATTTATTTATTATAGCTTAACTGTTTTTTTAAAAATTGGCCAACGACGGGCCCATGAAGCATAGGCCTATAGTGACATTGGGCTGGCCCAATCTCTTACTAGCCCCTACCCCTCTGCTCCAGCTGTTTCTTGTGTTGTGGGCCAAAATGTTTTTTTTGTTTTATTCGCCAAATGCGCGAAAGTAATAGATATGTTTGCTGCCTGGGGTGTAGGAGCTTCAACATCAGCTGCAGTAGCCTACCCTGCATAGAGCAGGCAATTATTTGCACAATAAGCCTGCAGTGTAAATATAGAATAAATCTCACTATTTAAACTAACTTATGGTAAAAAAAAAAAAAGAATAAGCTACTGATTACTGCATTACATTCTATTATATTTTATATTCTGAATTGTCAAGACATTTCCACAATAAATTGTTGCAGAAAATGTCTCCAGGATTCAGGAAATTAAGTGTTTAATGCTCAAAATCTTCTGGGGGAGGACCCCGATAACCCCCTATAAAATTTCATCAATACATTTTTTTATACTGATTTTAAATGAATTAAGCTAATTCATCATTAAGGTGAAGAGGTGCCATATGCACATTAAAAAAGACCTTAGGCTACTTCAGGCATGCCTGCATGTATGTAGACTCAGCTGGGTTTAAATTAAATGTGAAAAGTTGATCTACAGGAGAAACATATCTGCAAGTAAAACAGAAAGCCTGACAGCCTTACTGCATTATATTACACTTTTCTTTATTTTATTTTGAATTGTCACCTCAAACATTTCCTCAATAAATTGGTGCAAAAAAATTCACCAGAATGCAGGAATTGAAGTGTTTAGAATCCGTCCCCCCCCCCCCCCCCCCCCCCCCCCCGAGTTTATATTATCAGTGTTAATTGTTGTCAGAAAATGAGTTGTTAGAGTTACTGTATGGAGGTCATTTACTGTTGCTTTATAGACAGACTTTGGGTAGGCGGCAACGGGGGGTGGGGGGTGAAAACAGGTGAAAACATGAAAGATTTCTGGGCTGGGCTAAGCCCCCAATGTTTCAAGAGCCTGGAAACGCCCCAGGACAAACCAGCGTCTCTATGATAGCAGCACGGTGCCTCTACACCTCTACACTGGCCCCAAGTCAGAGCGGAGTGAAGCCTGTAAACTGGCATGGGATGTGTACAGCCCAGGACCGGAGGGCTCTGCAGTGGGTGATTAAAAATGCTCAGAAGATCACTGGTAATCACAGAGCATCAGTGATATCGGTAAGGTGAGGTGCCTACACAGAGCCCAAAGGTTATTAAAGGACAGTACCCAGCCTATCCACAGCATGTTCACCCTGCTGCCTTCTGGGAAGAGATAATAGTTTCTGCTACCACACCACAAGACTGCAGAGCAGGTTTCCCCCAAGCTATCAGACTTTTAAACTCATTGAACTCCATTCAATATAGTTTGTTTCTGTCTACCATTTCAATTATTGCTTTTATATTACTGTATATTGTCTGCTATGTTGCAGAAGGGAGAGACAAACTAAATTTCACTTTACAACCTGTTGTAAATCTACCTTGTACCTTGTACCTTGAATGTTGGATTTAGTTGAAGGTAGACTTTGTCAGTTCAATTTGACTTTTAAATGTTTGTTTACTCAAAGGGTTTATAGCCATGTTAGCAGCATGACTCTAAGGATGGCACTGTCCACCGTGATCCAAACTGAAATAAATCCACAACTAGTGGGAAAACTGAGATGAAATGTGGTGCAGACATTTTTAGTCCAAGAGGATGAAGCCTAATTAATTTTGTTACTATTAAGCCCTACGATAACTAATAATCAAGATCTAACATCACTGTCACAATCATTGTTTTTCATGTTTATTGTGTTTCTCAGTTGGCATGAAACCAAACACCAATGTCATGGTTTCAAATGATTATTACCTTCTCAAAATGACTGCAGCATACTGGCATGTGTTCAGTTTGAATATCCTCCAGGTGCAACCTCCTGTACAGAAGACACTGGCTTTTACAGCAACACTTATATTTTATTTTCTCTCTGTCTAAGTCATGACTCATATTTCTATCATGTGTCCATTATTGTCCTAAAAATACTTTTGTTTTTGCCCTGATGATTTCCATGTGTTTTTGCAACGACTCGTGCCACTGCGTGACTCATTGAAACTTCACAGTGACTTCTGTCTCCTCATTCAGGAATCTGCAAGGGCAAAAAATACAAATGGAGAAACAGTTGTTTTGGTTTGACACCTGGGTGTGCAGTGTAATAAATATATCTCTTACTGCAGTGAAGTAAGATCACTAGTGTGAAGTTTGGTTCACGGTAACATGTTAAAAATAGCACAAGATAGAGTTTGGTTCTGGTTTTGCTGTTTCATTATACAGTTTTACTTCAGGTGCTATTTGAATGATGTGTACAGAGCATGCAGGGCTGTGTCAGTGTTCATACCATCTGTCTGCCTGTCTTACCAGGAACAAACATGCTAATCTCAACCACAGCATTCTTCTATATGTGGCTCACATGAAGGATTCATTGCATTTGGAACAGATGGGGACCGCTGCAGGTGGTGCGACATTAAAGCTGATAACATGAGTTGTGTTGCAAATAAGATATGTGTTTAGTTGTGTTTTTTTTTTTGCGTGAGTACTTCTTACTCTACTACATTTATTTAACAACTGTCCTTACTTTGCAGCAGTGATGAGAGAAGTATTCTGATATTTTACTCTTGTAAAAGTAGCAATACAGCATTGTGAAAAATACAAATACTGAATTAAAAATCTTACTTAAGTAAAAGGTCATAAGTAGCAATACTGTGGTACTTGCAGTAAGTAAACAGTTTGAACTTTTCTTCCACCATTGGATGATCTACAAACTCTTGTGTTTCCAGGAGCATGCACTTCCACACTGTCTATAATGAGAAAATCAAGTTTAACTACGACATCTGTCCTAAAGGTGAAAAGCCATAGCTGTGTTGTGAACACTTGCGACCTTGTCCCTGTGTATTGATATCCTAATTTGCTATTAGTTAGGGATTACCACCTGTCAGAGTGAGAGAGAGAGAGAGAGATACAGAGACACAGAGAGTGGTAAGCTCATATTAGCCAGAGACTGATCTGAAAAGCTGTAACTCTCTCTCCACTCCCTCACTCCATCTTACGCTTTTACATTTCCATGGTTGAACATGCATTAAAAAAACAGTATTGTATGA